GATTTTTTACATTTGAATATCTTTGCATATTATGCAAATTTTCAATTCCATTTCGAATATTTTCCATTCTGTTCCAAAAAATTTCCATTTCGAATATTTCCCATTCCGTTTCGAAAAAATTTCCATTTCGAAAAAATAATTTTTCATTCCATTTCGAATATTTTCCATTCTGTTTCGAAAAATTTCCATTTCGAAAAATAATTTTTCATTCCATTTCGAATATTTTCCATTCCGTTTCAAAAAATTTCCATTTCGAAAAAATAATTTTTCATTCCATTTCGAATATTTTCCATTCCGTTTCAAAAAATTTCCATTTCGAAAAAATAATTTTTCATTCCATTTCGGAAATATCGAATAGTTAATAAAAAAAGAAAAAAAAAACATCAGTAACAGTTTTTTTATTTTAATTTGTAGGCAGTTGAACTTGACGATGGTACGGTCCTACTTGGTGGTGATAATAACATGTTCTTGGCCAGATTTAAACCATCAACAGTGTTGTAAAAAAAAAAAAATTAATTCTCATTTTCAAATCATTGAATTATTTGAGAGATTTCTATTTCATATTTTCATATATATATATCATGCAATTTCATTCTTCACATTTATAATTTGTATGAATTTGGAATTCAAAATAAATGGATCGATGAAAATTTATTTGTTTCATATCAAAAATTGATAATTACAAAAATTTAATCCATTATTCATAGTTTATAATAGTAATGATGATGATGATGATGATGATGATGATGATGATGATGATGATGTTGGTGTTAATGATCTTAACAAAAAGCTTGAAAGAAGAGAAATGATAGCTGGGGAATATAGTTAGTGGTATTTACCTGAAATTGCTAATATCTTGAACAAAAACTATATTTAAAAAAAATGATAGCTGAAATGCTTACTGTCATTTATACTTACTGATTTATGATATTATTTTTATATTTCAAATTAATTTAAATAACTATTACGATATTTTGCAAATTGCTATAATTATGATAAGGGCTTTTTATCTTAATTAATATTATGATAGTGATTCTCTGTTATAATATTTAATTATCATATTACACATTTCATATTTTCAATAATCTTTTAAGTAGAAAAAAAAAGTTATTTGTACTTTACGATTCTTATTGATTTCAATAATTCTTTTTTAAAAATGAATTGAAACAATTATTGTTTAATTTATTTCGTTTCAGGCAATTTAATGTATACATTATTTTTGTATTTTGTAAGGCCTCGTCCTCAGTAATTGCTTGGTTTGGGGTTAAAATAAAACGGATTAGCAGTTTGGAATATTTTATCATAAGTGATTTCTGATCGATGAGTTCTGATCAAAGCATAACAAATTTATTTCCTGTTATTACAGCTAAACGCAGGAAATATTTCAGTGCTTTAGCTATTCAATGAATTAGTGGGGAAGAAATAACCTGAAATCAGGTTGAGATGAAAAGGGTAAGCCCAAAAGAAGGAACATATATGAAGAGCGAATCCGATAATCTTAGCCAAAAAGTTTAGCAAAAATCAAAATTCAAATATACTTATCGGTTTTTTCAAGAAATATCAAAATATAATCCCAATAAATTTTTTGAATAGAGAAAATAAACAGATGCTAATGAATTAGTTAAGCTGTCAACTTTCTTTTAGTGATTCTTAACATTCGACCGTAACACACATAATGCTGTGACACGAGTATTGAGTATCTTTCATTCCGAAAACATAAATTTCGCCAAACCAAACAAACAACAAAATGTACCAAACAAAATTTCACTTGAACTCACTAATAAGCATTGAGTTTCTCAACGTATCCTTTATATTAAATCCATTCCGGACTCAGTTTGAAAGTACCGCCTCACTGATTTTTTGTTCTCAATTTTGCCAACTACTCTGTTAAATTAGTTAATTAACTTACTGATTGATCTATAATTTTCGTTTCAACGTTTGATTATTCATTCTCGCTACTGTTGTTTCTTAGACGAGATAACTGCATGAAATATTCTGATAATATTAGATCATTGTTACCTTAAAAATATGCAAAAATACCCGCCGATCAGAATGTACAGGCAAAACTCCATTGTGCCTATAATTCATGAACATTTTTGATTAATAATCTAACTGGCAATGATAAGACTAATTCTAGCTACTAGTAAGTTCCTCATATTCCTATATGAAATTTATAATTTTCTATATCAATTAAAATTAACATGTTGAAAAGGATTGTTACAATTACCAAAGACGGAAATATTATTTTTCAATACCAATAAATTATAATTGCTGTAAATAACGCAAAGGTCAATCATTACGTTTATCGAATGAAAAGAACAAAGTATAACATATATTTATAATTAGCTGAACAAATTTTAGTTTTACGGCTTATTTGTGCATTAAATCTTGAAATTAAGCTGTAGATCTTCCGAAACTGTTTGTTAGTACGTCATTAACGTGTTTATACGTATTAAAAGAAAAATGGACGAACAATAAAACGTCTAATGGATGATTGTATGTTTGGCAATGCGTGTTATTACAGTGCTGAATTCACTGGTAGGTATATTTAATTTTTATTGATTAAAGATACAACAAAATTAATGAAATAGTAATTATGACTGTATAATAATTGCGACCACGTATATTTAACAGTAATCATTCTCAAAATACATTTAAGAGAATCGTAAGGCTTGTTAATAGTATATTGTGAATACCAATGAGTAATGGTATCATGAATCACGTTCTTTTCATCGTTACGGGATATTTCGAGAATTAGTACCTTAATGAAAGAAGATATTGTGAATTCGAATACATTTTAACGTGTGAAATTCAAGATTAACAGAAACTGAAATTGTCCCTTTCCGGAATTTGGAGAAAAGGACTGATGATTAAAAGTTTTCAAGAAATCATAACAAATCACTAATTTCAGCATCACACTTACCTTTTGCTTTGCAAAAGCAGAAATGAAAACTGAATAAATTTGTGGGAAGCAAAGCAAACACACAGCAAATTCCTGTAAATGTGCAATGAATTCGTTTTTAATCTGAGTAATCTTTGCTCCGTACAACTATATGCCATGACTCAAAAAATAATTCTTTTTCCCTTTTTTTTGTGATGAATTTTACAAAATTTACAGTAATGCTCTGATTATTTCGCAATTTTCTGCATGTTATAATATTTTCTTTTTGTATTTCAATTTATAATCCTTTTCATAAGGTTTTTGTCGAGGATTGAAAGCATATTCATCAACTATCGAATTAGAGATAGGGAATTT